GAAAAAAATATATTAAAACTGTTAAAATAAAATACCCATAAAGATCCCAAGACTCAGGAGTAGGATATATACGTACAAATCCTCCTCTACGCTTGTACTCATCATTCGCTTCATGCAGCAGCTTACATTCATCTGTATCGGAACCATCAAAGTTGCTAATCAATTGGTTAGTAGCATATTTTAACTCTGTAGTAAGATGAGATGTTAAGTGTAACTAAGAAAGCAATGTAAAAAATTATTATACTAGTACTAGATTTTAATGAAATGTATACAAAATAACCTTCTTCAAAAAAAAAAAAAAGCAGAAAATAAGAAAAGGAACATACAAAAAAATAATTTTATATATATTGAATCATAAATTTAACAGATTATAAAACACAAACTGAGAATATACAAAAACTTGAAAATGAATAAAGACCTTTGATAACTTTTATACCTGATTATTGTGATTATCTGATGAGTCCTTCTGATTATCTGATGAATCCTTAAATGTAAAATTTGTTGCTAGGAACCCTAAAAAATAATCAAAAGAAGTTTTAAGAAAAAATATAGGAAAACAAAAAACCTAAAAAATAAACAAAACTAGTCGATGTAAAATGGAAGTTTGATGCCACATGTTTTTTGAAGAGCTTTCTATATAACAATTAACATTTTTACATTAAACTTACTTTTTACAAGAAGTGTTGGTAAGCCAATTTCTTTTAGTTAGTGTTGAAAAAATTTTTTTTGACTAGCTACACAAAATTTTTAGACTAGTATCACATGAGATTCATGAGTTCATTATGTGTCTCACCAAAAGTAGTTGCAAAAAACTTTTTTGATTGGCAATGAAACTAATTGCCATTGGCAATAAAAATCTCACCCATTAATACTAGTCGCAGAAAGTTCAAAGATCCTCTATTATATATACTTACAAAACTTTTTATATCACTACCATGCAAGATCACCAACCCACTAAAGACTAGGTGGTGCTAGCACAGGTGCAAGGTCATGCTAGCACAGTCTGCAAGGCTACTCCACAGACAAAACTCTTAAGACTTAAAAGATCTACTACGTGATGTCATTTCATTCACTAGGTACTAGCCAGGTGTTTAAAACCTGACAGTATCAAGCCTATTTTGGATTTAAGACTTAAGCCACCTCCCAGACCTGTTCTAGCTACAAGTCGTAAGTTTGCTCTCAGTGTAAAGCCAATTATTTTGGGAGCTGAGATTATATAAAAAGCTATCGGTTTTCATCCTTTATAAGAAAAAGCCACCATGTAACATAGTTACATAACTAAGTTATGTAACATGGTTACATAACTAAGTTAATCTAGCAGAGATGCATTATAATTCATGAATGCTATGATACCAAATATAAGTAAGAAATTAGAAAATGAAATTCAAATAAAGGGCTAAAAAGTTTTGCTTATCCCTACAGCTCAAATGAAAAAGACTAACTTAGGCTTCAGCTTTAAATTTGTCAATTCCTTATTACAAAGTGTTTGTGCAAGTTACCATTTTGGAAAATACTTGCCAAAATGGTGACATGCTTAAGATTTTCATCACCAGAACACCTGGCACAGAAATGACAATGCAGAGACATATTTTGTATTAAATGCTCTAGCTTGTTTTAATGGTCGCTTCATCAATATTGCCTATTAATTATAGATGGTTTGTGAGCTAACCCTGGCTAGTTTCCTTGTGTAATTATCTGCTTAAATAACAATTAGAGGTCTATAAGTTTATTGCAACTAGCTTGTTGCAAGTCAAAAAAAGTTTTTACTCACAAAACTTTGTGAGAGGTGTAAGACGAGTGTAATGAGTGCTCTATCTCACTTACTACTACTATTCTAAAAGATTTCTGGTGCTAGTCACAAAAAATTCTGTGAGACATTAGCAAAAATTCTAACTGAAACTACTAAAAAATGTTAGGTTTAGCAAAAATGTAAGGTTTAGAGAAAAAAACCGCATAAAAATATAACATCCAGATAAAAAGCCTTATTCATTTGAAATAGTCAAAAAACGTGGGTAGTGTTAAACTCCCATTTTACATCTACTAAACCAAAGTCCTAAATTTATCTTGATGGTAATTTAAAAGTAAAAGTCATATTTTAAAAAATTTCACAGAATTTTAATACCTGCAAGATTAAACATGTCTGTCATTAAGATAGACTTTATTTTCATATCCAGAGGAGAGTCACTTAAAAAATAAAAATAAAATTATTTTTATATACTTCATGTACAATGAATCTTTTATTATTTTTTCTGCAAGTTAAAAAAAATATTTGCATTATAATTTAACACTTGATACAATTTTATTATACAAGAGGAATCTATAAAGTATGTATGCAGTCAAATCACTGATTCCAAACCCTTTCTCATCCCTTGTATGCACCTGTATGCTCTCAACAGCCCTTCTCCTTCTCTGATAACAATTGCATTAATAATTACAAATTCAAGATCCTCTGCACTATTTCAAAATAGTAAATACAGGCTAGATTAAAACTTTTAGTTAATTCAACATTTTTCTGTACTTAAGTAAAGAAACAGCACTTATAACAGAGCAAAATAAATTCCAAAAGAACTCTTACTACAAGTATTTTTTATTTACCAGTTTATGTTTTCAAAAATAGTGACTTAAATTTATTGATTTATTAAATAAAGCATAATATCTGCTTCCACTCTTGATTTGGAAATCACTTCACTGAAATCTTCACATTCAATTTGGATATTTAATTACATCACTTAAATCACGCTTCGTTTCATATTTTAATCTTTTATTTTTTATGTTTTTTTTTGCTGTTTCATTGCCGTCTTGCATACTCAGTAATTTCATTTGCAAGGTTTTCTTTCACCAAATACAAATGATATAATCTTGTAATTCAAACATGCTTAAATTAATAACTTGTACCAAAAAGCAATGTGTCAGTGATGTAAACATTGATGGGATTGATACATTTTCAAAATATTGAGACCATTTAACTGTTTTTTAACCATTGAGCAGCAAACTGAATTAATGATTTAATCAAAATTTTATTAAAAAAAAAAGAAAAAAATATAATTTGGAACAGATATCACTCAGCTTCTCTTTTCTTCCATAATTATTTATAAACAAATATAATGGACAGCTGTGATCAAAGGCAGAAAAAAAATATTGATTTTTTACCCTCAAGTTTTAGGAAAAGTTTATAAGAAAAATAGTAAATCACATGACTATTTAGTATACTCAGCAGTTCTGTAATGTAGTTAAAATTTCATTTTAATACCTAAAATTTAGAATTACTCAGGTCAAAGAAAAATTTTAAAAATGAGTAATTATAAATTTAAAAAAATTGTTATTAGTGATTTTTATGATTTTTTTAGCGTCCTAATTATAAGAAATAAAAAGTATCGATTTTACTTAACCCAACCTTTATTATATTTAAAATTGTTTTGTATTTTGTAAAATTTTGCACCCCCTTTCATCCTCTCTAAAAAACTAAAAAAAAAATTTTTAGGGGGAGAGGGGGATACAAAATTGTTGCGTAATATTAGGGGGGGGGGTCAACAAAGTGTTACAATTGCATTACGAGGAGAGGGGGGGGGGAGAGAGGGTCTAAAAATGTCAAAAACTGTGTGACATAATTTATGGACAACGCCATAGGGAAATGTTAAAAAAAAGTTGTGCTTTTAAATGTAGTTATGCCTCCACCTTATATATATATATATATATATATATATATATATATATATATATATATATATATATATATATATATATATATATATATATATATATATATATATATATATATATATATATATATATATATATATATATATATATATATATATATATATATATATATATATATACTACTGTGATCAAAAAGTAAGGTGAATTTTTTTATAAAATGAAAAATCTTTATTTATTCTTCCAAATCTGTATCGTCCCTTTCAAAATAATCTCCCCCGGCCCCAATGCACTTTTGCCAACGTTTTTTCCAGTCTTCGAAGCATGCCGAAAAGTCCTCGGTAGGAATAGCCTTCAATGCGCGTGCCGATTCACGTTGGATCTCTTCAATGGACTCAAAACGATTTCCCCGGAGTGGCCTTTTGAGCTTTGGAAACAGCCAGAAGTCACACGGTGCTAAGTCGGGCAAATATGGTGGTTGTGGAGCAACATGGGTAGAGTTTTTGGCCAAAAACTCACGTAGAACCAGTGCTGTGTGCGAAGGCGCATTATCGTGGTGCAAAATCCAAGAGTTATTGGCCCATAATTCCGGTCTCTTTTTGCGCATAGCTTCACGCAAACGTCGCATAACGCTTAAATAATATTCTTTGTTGACAGTTTGCCCAGTTGGAAGGAGTTCGTAGTGCACGACACCACAATAATCAAAGAAAACAGTCAACATGACCTTGATTTTTAAGCGACTTTGACGTGGTTGCTTCGGTCTCAGCTCGCCTTTTTCACGGTATTCACTCGATTGGTCGGTTGTTTCAGGGTCGTATGCGTAGACCCAAGTCTCATCGCCAGTAATAATTTGTTTGTAGACGTCTTGATAGTCAGAAAGCATTGCTTCACACGCTTTAACGCGACACTCTTTTTCAAAGAAATTGAGAAATTTCGGCACCAAACGTGATTTGGGTCTTCTGAGGCCCAAATGATCCTTCAAAATCGCTTACACCAACCCAAATGATATTTCAACCGTGTCAACAAGGTCTCGAATGGTTAACCGACGATTTGCAAGCACCAATTCTTTGATTTTGTTGATGTGGCGATCATCAATCGTAGTCGATGGTCGTCCGGAGCGTTCCAAGTCATCAACACGTTCTCGGCCTTCTTTGAAGTCTTTGTACCACTTCAGCAGCAGAAATATCATTCCGCAAACAAAATTTAATAGCACTTCTTTGCTCAACAAAATTAGACATCGTGAAAATCGCCGAATGCACTTTTGGTACTTCAGAAACAAGCGTAAACAAAAAAAAAATAATTATGAGTTTGAAATGTAATTAGGCGCAAATGTTAATGACATTCCTACCAACTTAAAAATGAAAAAGATTGGACGATTCGAATAAGGCGGGAAGTTTAAATTAAAAATTCACCTTACTTTTTGATCACAGTAGTATATATATATATATATATATATATATATATATATATATATATACATATATATATTTGTGTGTGTGAGTTTGTATAAATAATTGTGCCTCCTTGTATATATATATATATATATGCATGCATGTATATATACAAGGGGACACAAATATAAGAGCACATTTAGATCAGCAACCTGACATGATACTGATTTAGTGAGCTGGAAGAGCTTCTGTTGGTTCTCACAACAATAGGTTTTTTTTTATTATTCTTTGTTTTCTTTATTTGTTTTTTTTTTTGTTTTTTTTTTATTCACTTTATTTATTTGTTTTCTTTATTTTAAAAAAAAAATTTTTGTTGGCAAAAAATTTAAGTTGTATGAGTCAGGAAAGAAGAAGAGAATTCCTACGCATCAATGTCTAAGGAAAAGATAAATAAAAAAAAAATGTATTTAAAGCATGAAGAAGCAGTTACTGTAAAAGTATGCAACTAAGTTAAATGACGAGTCATGCAAGATTGGGTTGAACTAGAAAAAAAAACTCTCGCCCTCACTCTCCTAAAATGCTTTACAGGAGTAACATTTTTTGTATAAAAAAATAATTTGAATAAAAAAGAAAAAGTTTGATTTTGAGATTTACTTTTTTTGCTTACAAAACGGGATTGCTTTTTTTTTTTGCATAACAGTCTCTGAATTTTTTTGTAGTGCTTGAGTTTATATGTTAACTATACAAATGGCTAATAATTTGTTGACTTATTTTACACTGCAACAGTGTTATACTGCTTTGTTTTTAATAGAGCAAAATTTTATTATTATAAATGTGAAGATGCGAAAATACAATTTTTTTTTATTTTTTATTTGCATTCACTAACAACAAGGCTGCAAGCAACCACTATTAAGTTGGGAGTTACTAGGAAAAAAAAAAGAACAGAGTTATAGAGCAAAGAAACGGTTGACAGAAGACTTGAAAAAATGAAGGTTGTATGAGTCAGGAAAACATGAAGATGGAAGATAGTTCCAAAGGAATGAAGTGCGGGGAAAAAAACTAGATGAATAAAAGTTTTTAGAGCATGCAGGGACAGATACAGTAAACGAATGAGACTTAGCTGGATGACGAGTAAAACGAGAATGAATTTTAGTTGATGCAACTAGAGATGATAACTCCTTTGAGCAGTGACCATGATAGTATTTGTAGAAAAGAGAAAGAGATGCAACTTTACGACGATGGGAAAGATGCTCAACTTAGCAGATAGTCCAGGTCCAACAACATTTACAATGCGTTTTTGGACCTTGTCAAGAAGAGAAAGTGAATTGTTAGAAGAACCAGCCCAAATATGACAACAGTATTCCAGAGGTAGAGAATGGAATCAGAAGTAAGGAAATGGCGAGCACGATAAAGAGAAGCAACCTTGGCAGAAGCTAATTTAGCAATCGATTGTATATATGGTTTCCATGAAAGGTCAGTAGTAAGCGATAATCCAAGAAGACGTAAAGAGGAGGACTCAGTAAGAGGATTGCCATTCATTAATATAGGAATGTTGACCATATTACGGTAGTTGTTTGCAGTAAACAGCTGGTTTTTTTTAGAGTTGAAATTTACAAGCCACTGTGAACCCCAATCTATTACTGAAGTGAGATCAGGTTTAAGATCAGCTGCTTGTTCTAGGCAATCGAAAAGAGAAGACTTTTTGTCAAGACAGGAGTATAAAGTTGAATCATCAGCAAAAAGAGCTACTTTAAATGAAAGGTTGTCAGGAAAATCGTTTATGTAGATAAGAAACAAAAAAGGGCCAAGGATGGAACCTTGGGGAACCCCAGAATTTACTGGAAATAAAGAAGAGTGCTGGCCTTCAAGGATGACTTTAATAAACCGGTTAGAAAGAAATGATTTGATAATCTCAAAAACTTTCCCAGAAACACCATATGAAGCAAGCTTATGGAGAAGACCAGCATGCCAAACTTTGTCGAAAGCTTTAGATATGTTGAGAGCAATAGCTCTAGCCTCACCGCCTCCATATAATGCACAATAAAATCTTTCAGTTACATCAGTTAGCAAGTCGGCCGTAGAGCGAGAGGATCAAAAACCGTATTGATTGTCTGACAGTAGTTTATTTGACTCAAGATGAGATGTGAGGTATTTGTTGATCAAAGACTGTTGACAAAGAATTAGTAACACAAAGAATTTTTTTCTTTTCAAAAACAGATATGCAGTTAAGAGGGATTTTTTCCCTAAAATCCTTATATAACATTAATGGCAATATGATAAGTTCACAAACTTGTTTATTGTTATTGCAAAGTTGTTAACAATTCAGACAACAATAATCAAAATCACATCAACCAGATGATCCTCGATGGATAACAAAAGTTTAACTTCTAAAATACTAAGTTTTTCAATGATATGTTGTACTGTTATAAAATGTTTCTTTTGAACCTTGGCACAATTTAATAAATTCTTTTTTGAATGGTTTATTAAAAAAACTCACTAAGAATGACATAATAACGTGAGCTATCCAACAACAATCTACATAATTCAACAACACTATTGCATATGTAGGTAATGTGGTAGTGATGTAGTAGTAGAGCACTCACTTCATAAGGTTCCAAGTTCGATCCCCACTATGTCTTTGGTAGTACCGCACTTAACTTGTTTCTCTGCGTAGAGGCCTTGTTTATCAAGATTCGTTTTTTGTAATTATAGAATTGAGAGAAGGTTGTGGCCACAATTAAAGTAGCTTCCTTGACTGTAGTGGCTTTAATGGCCTTTGAGAGGTAAACTAACATTATAAAAAATTTAAAAATATTTTATAAATTGATATTTTCTCATTAGGACCTCTAAATACTGCATAATGTTCATCATTGAACCTAATATCTGCACCTGTTCCCTTAACATTAGCAAACATTCTATCAAGATAAATTCACTGTTTCACTATTAGTGTAATGAATATGACCAATGCATTTTAGAATAATGAAGGAGCAAACAAAGACATAGACAGAAAACAAGTATACTCAATTCCTCTTTTGATGAAAAGAAAAATAAAGCATTTATTGATGAATTGAAAAGTTGGAATGCTGTAAAACTGAAAGAATTTTTGCAAGCAAGGAGTATCTTGGTAAAAAGCCTGTGGTAAAAAATACTCTTAATAAAAGTGTTTTATGCTAGTAAACTTATATCAAAAAACCATACAAAAAGACACTGAAGAAATCAAATCGAGAGCTTTTCAAAAACTGAAACTAAAATCAGGTTTCTAGCTTCACCATTCACCATGTGAAATTGAAAATTAGGTGTTAAAAAAAAAATAATCAAATTATTATCACCTGCAACATCTTTGGACATTTAAACTTATGCTTTCCTCACTCATGGCTCTAAAACCTTGAGAAAAGGACATTCTTTTGATTCTTCAGACCACATAACTTAAGTAGCTTTTCAATTGTTTATAAAATCCTGTAAATTTATTTTATTTAAAAAGAACTGAAAAAAAGAGCAAATGATGAAGAATATGAATTAAAGAACTTATGATTTTTCTAAAAATGTACAAACTTTTTTTACAGAGTTTATTTTGCCTTTACTAAAAAGTTTGAGAGAAAAAAAAAAAGTTACAATAGTTTTACATATGTGATGATGTGCTGAATAAATTTTAAAAACACTTTTTTTGTTTATAGAAAAAGTAGGTAATACTTTTTCAACTAAATTTATCTAAATCAGATTAAATCCTATACAGCTAAGGGTTGTAAATTACTCCACAAAAATCCTTGGTGTGGAATACCCAGTAATATAACAATAACATTGATAACAATCAAGTTCGTGATCATTAGAGATAAAGCTAAGATATAAAAAGAGATGAAATACAACCCAAAGATCATCACTATAAATATAAATAAGGAAATTCCAGTTAATTTTAATGTAGTAGTAAGACGTGCAATAATAGAGAAGTAAAAGGTAAAAGTTTTATGGAGAAAAAGAAAACAGATAAAGTTTTATTGAGATTATAATATGATTTCAACTACCCAAAAGATAAAGAATTGAGCTTAAGCTAGGGTCAGAGATGAGAAAAAAATCAAGAATCCAGTTTTTGGAGGTTTTTACAATATAACTGGCAACTGTCAGCTAAGAAAATAATTTATAAACACAATCAGGGGCTATTCTAGACTGTTTGCAACAGCGTTGACCATATTTAGGTGGCGATATGGGCGTCACCCAAATTAAAATTTGAGGACCTTTTTTTTTTTTTTTTTATGTTTTTTACAGCAAAAATTCCCAATTTTCCATTAAAGCTCGCCAGAACAAGGGGGTACTGCCACCCAAAGTAGGCTCTGACAATACTTAACTAGCTCAAGAGACATATCTTTAATGCCAAAAATACTTTTTAATTAACAGTTAACTTTTTATTTTAATATCTTTGTATAAAATTTTATAAAAATTTTGTTCTTGTTCTGAGATTATTAAAAAGTCTGAAATTACTAAAACTATGTAATAAAATTATATAACTAAAATACATATCACACTATATTGATGTGATTGTTTTAGCATATCAATAGATGATAAGATTCATTAAATAATGATGTCACAGTTAACAATGAAATGTAATATTTCATATACTTCTGAGTAGTTATTTTGGAATAACTGCTAGAATACACTCACGCGTCTAAACATGGGGTCCTAACATACATTAAATAATCAGACAAACATATAACATCATCATCTTTATCACAGGCTTGGTCGGGAAGCGGGAGCAATCGCTCTCGAATACTGACCACGGAAATTATATTTAGTTGCGTAAAACTAGCCAGGTTTTTTAGTCATTTTGAGAACATTTATGTTTATGTACGAAACAAAGAACTTTTGTTTTTCGGACATACATGGAAACATAAAAAACTTGAATGTTCTCAAAACATCTTTGTGCGAAAGAATAAAAAGAATATTTGCGAATACTAAAAACCCGCCAAATTAACAAAAAAACTAATTCTATTGGTTCAAAAAAAACGCTGATTAAGTGAAATAAAGTTCTAGTGCATTCTGTTAAAATGTTTTAGATATACATTATTCACGGTTTGTTACGATTTGAGATTTCTGGCATTGTTTTAAGAATACATATTATTTGTTTACGAAAATAAATGTTTCAAATATATATTAAATAAATTGTCAACATTTTAAAAGTTTATTATAAATCATAGATTTTATTTGTATATTCTTATTTTTTACTTTAAAAGAGATTGTATTCTTTATGTAAATGTAGTTTTGTGTATCTGTTTTTTATCGTAACATCTTTTGATCTTTTGAAGCAATTTTTATGATTTAAACAAAGACTTACAAAAATAATTGCGTTTTCAAAGTTATAATCGTTAAAGTTAATAAAACTAATTATGTAACAAGTTTCTGGTTACTAAACACAAACAACGCATACAAAGTAACTCACGGATGAACAAGCATCGCGCCTGAGGTCACGACAGAACACAAATATATAATAGCAAATAATTAGATATAAAGAAAAGTTTCTAGATATTGGTTTACTAACTCTAATTATTTTCGCTAAAGTTGCCATTCTTAAAACTCGTTATACTTTTTTCTGCTTTAAATACTAATTAAAATTAAAAAGCCCACTCACTAAACATCATCAGCGATATTGTGAAGCAGTTTCGCTTCCTGGTCATTAAGTATTTTTAACCTTTTTAGTTGATTTCTATCTTGATAATTTAATTCCTATAGTAATTCAATGATTTACTTATTTCATTTGTTTATCTTACTAAGAAGAATTGCTTCAAATATGTTAAACTTTTCTAACTACGCGAAACATAAAATAGGTATTAAAAAAATTAACTTTTTTATTTATAAAATAATTTAGCTTAATTAAAACTAAAACTTGCAAACTTAGTTAAATAAAGAATATTTATTTCCCTTTTAAACAATCGTACGTTGTTACAAAAAACATCGCTTAATTTTATTAAAAAAATTATAAAAAAGCGATGTTTCGAAAATATTTTTAAATGTATTTACTTAGCTTAAAGTTTTTTCGCATTTAAAGATATTTTATTTGCCTACTTTTTTTTTTTTTTGTAATTGTCTCTCATCGGTCCAATTATTCTTTGTCGCTTTTTTTTGTTTGCTTTTTAAAATGTTCTCAAAACGACTAAAAAATCTGGCCAGCTTTTCGCAACTAAATATTATTTACGCAAGGTCAGCAATCGAGAGCGATCGCTCCCGCTTCCCGACCAAGCCTGCATCATCATCATCATCATCGTCAATATCATAAGCATACCTAAATAATAAAATAATAAAATATTTATATTAAATAAAAATATATTACCAAGCCAAAGATGGCGAGAGATTGACTTCTAAAAGCCATGGTTTCAAATTTTCATCTATCAATATGTCAAAACCATACAACTCTACAAAAAAAATGTGTTTAAAATTTAAGTAGTGTAAGTAATTATAAATAAAAGTGTTTATAACTTGAACAAATTTAACCATTAACAACATTAGATATCTAAATTTAATGAAAATAAAAAAGATAAAAATGTGAACAATAATTTTAACATTTAGCTATTTCAAAAAACTTTTTTGACATATACAATTAGATCCAAAAAATAAAAATATTTGAGTACATCTATCTCACCAAAACAGTTGCCTCTATGAGGAACAAACATTCTGCAAGCTGTTGAAATAACCATTTCTACTGATATAATAGTTTTTATTATCAAGTCTTCAATACGAGCCATCAGAGCTAATAGCGCATAACAAAATAACATAAAACTTGATATAATAAATAATTCAAATGGTGTTTTGCAAAATAGAGTGCTTAATGTTCTTTAAAGAACAAACCAATAATAAATTAGTAAAAAATTACACAAGAAATTACAACTATTTTTTTATTTTATACAGCGTTTCATCAAAAAAGAAATTCATCAGAAAAAATCTTTTTTTCTTCTTATCTTAACTCTTAAAAAAAATCTTATACTCAAAATAAAAGAAATTTTTGAAAACTAAAAAAGTTATTTTAAGCATCTTATTTAAAATTTAAACAAAATATTCTTAAATTAACTTTTTAACCATTATGTTTATAAAAACTAACATTTGTACAGCAAAGTCAACATAATAAATAAATGATGTATACAGCATGAGTAAAATCTCTTTTTTGTAATAATGCCCAAAAAATTTATGAGATAAAATTAAAATGTTTATTTGTTCAAAAAAAATTTTTGGTAATAAAAGTAAAAATTAATTTTCTTTTATTGTAGTATATTCATACCTTGAGTATCTACTTCCTGACATTTCAGGAAACGCAACATTCCACTAAAGCTCCATTTACTTCCGTAATCATCAATTTCAGGATCTTCACATCTAGTATATGTTTTATATATATATATACAACCCTTGGAATTAGGAAAAACGAGATCTGTAATAATTTGCCAACCTTAATCTTTTAGAGGTGGACAAAAGAAAATTGATACAAAGGTCTCACCATAAAACATAGAAACAAAGTCGGCAATTATTTGCCGACCTCAAACACTTTATGGTTGGCAGTTAGGACAGCATTGCCAAATGCCGACCCTAATTCCAAAAGTTGTATATATATATATATATATATATATATATATATATATATATATATATATATATATATATATATATATATATATATATATATATATATATATATATATATATATATATATATATATATATATATATGTATATATATTTAACACCCTATAAATAAAATTTCAGACAAATTTTAATTGCATTTATTATGTAATTTATTTCATGCACGCAAAAAACATTTATACTTATTTGAAAGACGATTTTATAATCTATTTAAATTTAATCTAAGTAAATTAAAAAATTATTTAAATATTGAAAATAAAATGGTCAAAGTAAAGGAACTCAAAAAAACGAGGAAAAGGTAAAGCATTTGTTGCTAAGCAGTTTATGGAAAGGGGTTTACCCAGATCAACTGCTTACGATAAAACTATAAATTTGGAGAATGGATCTCTAAAAAGAAAAATTGGAAGTGGTCGAATCGCTAAGGTAGCTTACTAAAGAAAATATTCCAAAGATTGCTGCTTTTTTTGAAAATAAGTCAAGGTGTTCCCAAAAGAAAGTAGCTCAAAGGTGCTCCCAAAAGAAAGTAGCTCAAAGGTGCTCCCAAAAGAAAGTAGCTCAAAGGCGTTCCCAAAAGAAAGTAGCTCAAGTTTTTAACTGTAGTCAAACTCGAATTTCCCAAGTATCAAAAACAATGACTAACATTCAAACTTTCAAAGAAACAAATCGTCCAGATCCTAGCCATCAGCAGAAGAAAGCAATGCATCCTAAATGTCGTAAATTGTACAAAAATTATAAAAACTTGGATTTTGTTATGAATGATGAAATACCTTAAACAATAGCACATTAGCTGGTAATGATAGGTTTTATGCCGCTGATCCTTCTTAATGTTCTGACGAAGTAAGATACAATTTGCGTACAAAGTACAAGTACAAACTCTTAATTTCTTGTTGCATGAGCCCCCATGGAATAAGCCCTCTTTATATTCATCACAGTAAGCAGGCAATCAATCAGTAGACATATAAAGAGATACTAGAAAAAATTTTACTTCCTCTAGTATTAAAATATTATAAAAAAGACAATGAGTTTATCTTCTGGCCTGATCTAGCTCGATCACCATACGCAAAGTCGGTCATAGACTTTTTAAAATTAAAAAAAATTTGGTTGTACCCAAAGATATAAACCCAGCTAATGTTCCAGAAGCAATACCAATTGAAAACTTTTGGGGTGATTTAAAACGGCTAGTGTACAAGAATAATTGGAGAGCTGAGAATTTGGAAGAGCTTGATACAAGAATTAGATATTGCTATTCAAAGATGAATAAAGAAAATTTCCTTACTCAAATAAAACGTCTTTCAAAAAAACTTTATAATATTGCTAAATATGGTATTTGAAATAATTATTTTAATATATTTATAAACTACATATACTAACATATTAACAGTTAAAATAATAAATAATAAAACTTATTAGTTCTTAAAATAACAATTTTTAAATTTTGTCCAAAATTTTATTTATGAGGTGTTATATATATATATATATATATATATATATATATATATATATATATATATATATATATATATATATATATATATATATATATATATATATATATATATATATATATATATATATATATATATATTATTTTTTTAAATTATGTTAATATAAATATTTAATCTAATTTGAAAAATTTTTAAATTATTAATATATTTAATATAATTTACTGATTCTTTTGTTATATTTGACATTTGTTAAAATAATTTTTAATAACACATTTTTATAGTTGTTACTTTTTAAAACATTTACCTTACAAATTTTTTGCTTGACTTGTTAATGCTGTAGTTAGTCAGGTGCATTCTTTGGTTTTGCAGATTTTGTTCACTCATGTCATACTTGACTGTTGAAAACCTAAATAAGAAAAATAAATAAATTAGACATACAAAAGAACAGGACATTTATACTCTTGTACATTTTCAGTGTCTTTTTTATTTATACATGCAGTATACATACCTGTAACAAATAACTCTTAGTATTACACCTGTTTTATTGAGCAATTAAGCATTAAATTTTAACCCAAAACATTTTCAAAACTATTAATAAAATATCCAAATTTCACAATGAAGACACCAAAGTCACAAGGTCTTATTTGTGAGACATCACAAGCACTGATGTATAATAGATCAAAGAAAGTTTGCCATTGTGAGATGTAAAAGAATTACATTTTGACAAAATAATAGTTTTGACAAGGCCAGTGTTATGTCTGGAAAACTTTCAGATAAAAATTGACACCAGCTTTATAAGAGTTGACAACAGCTTGATAAAGGTTGACATCAACTTGATGAAATATGATATCAGCTTGATAAAAATTGACATCAGCTTTATAAAAGTCGATATCAGCTTGATATAAATTAATATCAGATTGAAAAAAATTTATATCAGATTGATGTCAACTTTTATCAATCTGATATGATAAAGCCATGCATAAAACCATTAAAAAATGTTTTATTTATGGTCAAATTTAGAAAACTGTTTATAAATAAACAGCCAAAAAGACAAAAGAAGTTAAAATAATTATATAAATAAATATCATTTAAATGTTATTTATTATTTATTTATTTACTAAAAACTGTAAAAACATTTTTTTTTTTAATTTAAATTATAAGACATTTTTTTTTAATTAATGCCCATGGTTCCATACTTGTGTAGTTTTCCATCTAAACTACACAAGTAAAAAAAAAAAAAAAGTTGAAGGATTTTTATATAACCAGATCCACTGTTTGATCAGGTAATAAAACTACCTGTGACCACAGGTAATTTTATTACTTCTGGTACATAAATATGGTATGATATACATTTGAAAGTATTTTTTTCCTTTTATCTGATAGACTTTGAACATATTGAAGATAAGTAGTTCTTGTAGTTGGTTCTATTTAAAAAAATAATATTTGTAGCTTTTTACTGAGCTGAACTTTTATATATATATATATATATATATATATATATATATATATATATATATATATATATATATATATATATATATATATATATATGTATATATATATATATATATATAATATATATATATATATATATATATATATATATTTATTTATTTATTTATTCTTCTTTATTAAATGGAAAGTAACTTATTATAATGGCTCACATAATACATAACTTCTTGCACAAACAGTATACTTCGCAGTATAGTACCTTGTAAGTCCTTCTTCAAACAAATATACACGTAAAACCTTTATTTATTTAGATAGTACCTTGTAAGTCCTTCTTCAAACAAATATACACGTAAAACCTTTATTTATTTAGATAGTACCTTGTAAGTCCTTCTTCAAACAAATATACACGTAAAACCTTTATTTATTTAGATAGTACCTTGTAAGTCCTTCTTCAAACAAATATACACGTAAAACCTTTATTTATTTAGATAGTACCTTGTAAGTCCTTCTTCAAACAAATATACACGTAAAACCTTTATTTATTTAGATAGTACCTTGTAAGTCCTTCTTCAAACAAATATACACGTAAAACCTTTATTTATTTAGATAGTACCTTGTAAGTCCTTCTTCAAACAAATATACACGTAAAACCTTTATTTATTTAGATAGTACCTTGTAAGTCCTTCTTCAAACAAATATACACATAAAACCTTTATTTATTTAGATAGTACCTTGTAAGTCCTTCTTCAAACAAATATACACGTAAAACCTTTATTTATTTAGATAGTACCTTGTAAGTCCTTCTTCAAACAAATATACACGTAAAACCTTTATTTATTTAGATAGTACCTTGTAAGTCCTTCTTCAAACAAATATACACGTAAAACCTTTATTTATTTAGATAGTACCTTGTAAGTCCTTCTTCAAACAAATATACACGTAAAACCTTTATTTATTTAGATAGTACCTTGTAAGTCCTTCTTCAAACAAATATACACGTAAAGGATCATATGATGTAACAGCAACATACAGTCGGCAGTCAAATTTAAAACCTTAATTAAAGATTAAATAGATAAATAAATTTAAAGATCTAACTTTAATCTAGTTTTAATTTAGTCTTAATTTAAAAAAAAAAAAGAAAAATAAAAATTAAAGGTAATAATAAAAATTAAAGGTATTAATAAATGATTGTTTCAATTGTCAAACTTTTTAAGAAATTATCAAACTTATGAAATAATTCAAATAAAAAAACTCTAAGAAAAAGAACAATAGATAATTTTAAAATGAAGTTTTCATTCACTTTTGAATGAAAGACTTTGTTTATATAACTAACTTTGTATATAAAACCTTTTCTATTTTTTCACTTGAAAAAAATTTTGTTTATAAATAAACTTTATTTTTTGTCATTTTTTTTTTTACATTAAAACTTATGACTTTAAAATGTTTAATAAAAGAAAATTCTTAAAATTTATTTAATGTATAATAATTCATTTAAATTTTTATATATTAACTACTTATTCCATTACTTTCATCATTAAATTCAACATATTGATTTGTTGAGTTTAATGATGAAAAATATACATATTCAACAAATATTAAAAGAAAAATTTTATTCTGATAGATAAATATTCAAATAAATAAGAAAACAAGAACTAAAAGTAAAACTAATAAAACATTAATTCCAATAAACTATTTTATAACTTTACCACTGATTAGCAAAGGGTTTTTTATGTACTTGCATGCTATCACACCGTCTCCTAAAGGTATGTCATTTTTCTAAAAAGTAGAATACAAAATCAATAGTCATATATAAAACAAATCAACATATTAAAAGAAACTATAGGTATTACTTTTATCTTTTAGTAAAAAATTTACATAATCCAATAATTTATTAATTTATTCTATATGTGTGATACATCATTTACAGCAATAATAAAACATGTTTAAAAACAACATTATGAGAATTTTAGTATAAAATAAAGATTTAAATAGTATTAAATTATATTATAATAAACTCACATTATTAATTAAAAATATACCACGCCCTCTTGATGAAGCATAAGGCTTTATGATCCACGGTCCTTGATCTTTCATAAATTCATCTGCAAAATAGTAAATGTATCAATCGATCAACTATATTTAAAACAAAAGAATAACCAAAAGAAACAAATTATACTCTTACTTATTATTTTCTGTAGAGCTTTTATGAACTGTTCATGTGACAATAGCTTGTTGTATGAGCAACAAGCTATTGTCACATGAACAGGAGTCACATGAACAACAAGGTATTGTCACATGAACAGGAGTCACATGAACAACAAGATATTGTCACATGAACAACAAGCTATTGTCACATGAATAGGAGTCATATGTCACATAAACGGGAGTCACAAGTCACATGAACAATTGTCACATGAACAGGAGGCCTTTTTTAATGTTGTTGCTTTTAGTAAACACAATTTTTTTATGTTTTATTGTATATGAAGTGATGGTAAAAATAAGAAATACAGCAAAAATTTAAAAATATATTAATTAGTGAGCAAATCATATAACAATATATAACTCTACTGATTAAATGAACCAAAAAGAGTACACAAATAAGTAAACTTTTTGAAATTAGCCATTTTGAAATTAGCCAGATTGGATGTATCTGTTGAAAGTGTATCAACAACAGAGTCAGCTACAGAATAAAATCTAAACAGTGCAAAAAATTCAACAATACCATTTATTGGTGGAGATTCTAATGAGGATGATGAAGTATTACTATACAATTAGCATGCTCAAGTAAAACAAGTTTCCTAAGGCCAATATTCCAATATAAGAGACTATTCAAGTTTTCTAAAAGAACGGTGCACCAGTTTCTTCTTCTTTGGGCTATCGCTTGATGTCGCCATTTACAAAAGAGCTACATAGGGCATAATGGGTGATAAAAGCCATCTATGCAATCAAAATTAAACTTCTATTCATCAGAAATGAAACCATCTTTAAGCTAATAGCTCAATAATTACAAAAGATTCAACATTTTTATTTGTCATTCATGTTTATCTTCAGTTTGTTATATTTTTCTTTGTTGTAAGATATTTTCATTGTAAGGAATCTGATTTGCATCAATGACTCTGCTGAGCCGGGCATAGGATTGACACAACACTTTAATGAAACCGTCACAAACAACAAAAAGCAGAAATAGTTCTTGCTTTATGTTTAAAAGCATAGAAAAAAGGTTTGCAGAGTATAATTATGATCTGCTTGTCAAAATTTGAAATATTTACATGATATAATGATAATAGTTTTGTAATCTTTTTTTTTTAAATTTTGAAGTTTTCAAATAAAAGGCAGATGACATATTTTTTTTGTCAAAATTATAGATCTCATTTTATTTGTATGAACACATCACAAAGCACCTATAATCTTTCTTTCAGTGTCACATGTAACTCTGTATCAAAGTTGGTTGCAAATAGTTAAACACTTAAATCAGAAACTTTCTAACCATTAAGAGACCTCTAAAGATTGTCCCAATGTGGTAAAATTTTGCAAGTAAACTACTATTATTGTTAAAGATATACTTGATGAGTAAGACATCAATATTTGAAAGTTTTATATTCTTGGGACACCCTAATAGTTATATAAACATTAAAAGAAATCAAAAAAAGTAAATTTTTAAATTTAATAATACACACACATAAACACACACATATAATAGAAGAGCCATAGAATATTTTGAAACAATTAAATGTTCAAGGGTCTTGAACAGCCCTAAAAAAAGTTGTTTGTATCACCACAGTGAGGTTGATAGTACAATTAAATATACACAATAGAAATAAAATGAAATAATAACAAGATACCATTATACATCAGTTTTATTATAAACTTTTTTATCATTGTGTAGAAAAAACTTTGCTTTCAATCATTTCTTTGGATTTCATTGAAGCTTGCTGCCCTGCCCACAGCTATCCTTAAAACACATAAGATACTCATCACCAACTACTGTAATAAAAGAATCTTTAGTTATAATCAAAGTAGATTTATTTTTCATTTTTTCAAGTTCTTTGACTAAGTTTCTCGACAACTACTTTCAAAGGTGTTGAACAATTTAGCATGTTGGCAGGCATCAATGCTTATTCCAAAGACCTGTTCTTATTTGTATCAGCTAATGTTTCATTACAACAATACTTTTAAAAACCTCTTTAAGATCACACACATCAAGTTTCAAAGTATTTTTATAACTAGTTTTAGTTGCAGTTTTTTCCAAATTTTTGCAAAGTGTGTTTGTAAAATGGAATGTTTTACTACAGAAGTTTTAAAAATATTTGAATTTAAAATTTCTGAAAAATCACTTTTCTTTAGTAAAAAATTAAGTATTTCTTGTTATAAAATTAAGTATTTCTTGTTATTTTAATCTTATCTTCCTCAATATAAGAATCATAATTATCACTATTTGGTGCATCCTCCTCAGTTGAAAGTGCTTCAATACGATCAAAATTGGCAAATTAACATCATTTGCGTCATTAAAATAGCTATTAATGTTGTAATTCTCATCATGTTTTGTATTAAAACAATTGATTATGGCTAAATGGAAACCATGATTATGGTTAGAGCTGGCTTATTGCATCTAAATTTCTTTTATACTTTACCATGACATAACTAATAGATGTATTTGGATCTGGCTTAATAACATAAGCATTGACATTTAAATATCTTGTGATAACACAGTTATCTTTTTATCACAGTTATACAGTCCATTCATTTATCAACTGTAAATGAAAACTTTACATTTTGACTTTTTAATTTTTAGAATTTAGTATCAAGTTTTGTACTTTTAATTTTAAAAAAGTTGTTAATATAATTCGTTTCTTTTGTTGGATTTTAGGCATTTTATATCCATTCAATCGAAAACATAACCAATTATGGCTTTTGATTTACATAGAGCTGTAATTGTCATGCCATCTATTGATTCTTTCTCTACTTTAACATAACTTAGCATGTTTTTTACCCTAGTCCCAACTTTTTGCTTCTTGTTTTTTATACTAGTATATCCCTAATCACTTGTTATTGTATTTTGATTAAAAGAAATACCATGAATTAGTTCCAAATGATTTCTCATTGAAAAATTATTTAAAATTACTTTTTTGTTTTTTTTTATATAAACTAATACAAACAATTTATATAAACTACTTTTTAGTTTATTTATGCAAATTACTCTTTTGTTTATTTATATACTAATGTTTTTTTTACATAATTTATTTTCACTTTTATGTAATATATTTTTCCCGCATTTGTTACTAACAGCCTCAAGAAGGTTGATTTGCCTCTTTCAAAATACTCCCAAACACTAGATCATGTGATCTTAACATTGCTAAAAAAAAATGTGTATACAAAATAGTTAAACAAATATTATAATAATAAATCGCTTCACTGATAATAACATATATTTACATTCTAGGTAGACCAACCTATCACATAAAAATTATACTTTCACAGTAAAAAAAAAAAACATTTGTAAGTGTATAGACGAAGTAACACAAACAACACAGTTGAATTAACTTTACACAATAAAAATTAATTTATTATTAATATACCACTAATTTAATTAAATATAATTTATTATTAAACATACCACTAGTAAAAATTAATATCTAAGGCTTTTAGATTTTTTTTTTCATACTTTTTTTTAAAAAAACAACTAAATTGTTCAGTCTTTTTACAAAGTATGTTTTATAATAATAAACAGTCGGCAAAATTTTAACTTTCGACATAATCGATTATTTGAAACAAAATATCCGGATATTGAATTGCAAAATTTTAGTCAACCTGTTAAATAGAAAAGTTAAGAGTTGTGAAATTTTAGTATTAAAAAAAATGTAGCAAATACATAATAATGATAAATAAACTAATAAGCTAAATGGAGATATAAAAATGAGATTGCGAAACAAATGTGTTATTTGGTAGCAACATTTATTCAAGAACAAAACACTAAATGATGTGCTATGATCTAATCATAACACAAACAAAACCAAATATATTTATATATCTAGCCAATCAAATAACTCAGGACAACTTTTCATCCTGAAATGAAATTTAAGTACTTTCTTTATAAAATATTCCAAAATTGCTTAAAAAATAATTTCTTATTAAAAAAAAACTTACTATAAAATTCATTAAGTTCAGTTGGAAGAATAAAACTCTTGGGAATAAAGTTGAAGTGTTGATAACCCTAAACATAAATTAAATAAAGTAACTTAAAGAATTAAACAGTAAAAAAAATAAAACCAAATTAAACTTTTATACTTTTAAATACTGCATTTTTTGAATATTTTTACAGAGCTTGTCTTTTCTTGTAAGTTCATTGGAGCTGTAAAAATATAAATAAATATAAATAAAAAAATATAAATACAATATTTATTATTATATTAAACAAAAAAACAAAAATAAGGAATATTTAAATACCAAGGAAAGTGATTAACTTTTTGATAATCAGTCAAACCATGCAACACGTTCGGTTTAGGATATGATCCCATCCACAACAAATTGAAATTGTTGCTTGAACAAATCTTATAAAAAACATTAAACTATAGTTCAAATAATTATTACAACTTATAAACAGAGTTTAAAAAAATTTCTAAAGCAAATTTAATTTAAAAAAATTAAACAAACAAAATAAAAAAGATAAAGTGATTGTATTCATCAATGTTGTTGATATTAATATTAATTTCTAAGTTGAACTATTTTTACTAGGGGTGCACTAATGCATGATGCACTTATGCATAGGCTTGACAAGACTTAAAACATGTATGTATAAAATATACTAGACTATAAAGCATAAATTATTAAGTAATAAAATAATGAAGCAAATTATAAAATATAAAGTCTATGTACCTGCATCATTCTATACCCAATGATACACCCCAGCTATTGTATTAGTGTAAGCCTGTGCCAATCAACATCAGCCAAAAGTAGGCCTCAGTGCAACCCTAATTTTCACCTGCGGTATTTTAACTCCCATTTAACTGTTTTCCATATTTAAACTAAAGTTTGTTGCACTTATTTTATGTGTTTCAAATTTAAACTTCATTCTCTTTATAAAATTTTTAGGTCTAAGAGAAATTCAATCGAGCAATTGTTTCAGCCAAAAATATGTTCTAAAATTCACAAATTGACTGCATTAAACGGATTTAATGATTCTCCTTGTAAATAAAAACATTTAAAAGATAAATTTATTTTGTTTTGATAAAATCCCTTTAAAAATTTTACAGTTTTATTGTATGAAAACTCAAACTAAAATGTATGAAACAAAAAACCAGACCTGAGACCATTTTTTCAAAGATCACAGTGTATCAAACTCACAAACTAATCATTTATAATTAAAAAAAAATAGTGCGTTGTGGAGTGGGTTGTTTTTCACCCCTGTAATAATAATTTGTTACTTATTAAAGCTTTCATTTACCAACATTAAAAAAAAGAGATAAATCGCATGCAAAAACAATCAATTTTTTTTTAAATTCTACTAAATTTTCTAATGCTATAAAAAAACTGTTGTAAAAAAAGCTGAATCTCTTATGAAGTCTTTTCCCTTTAGCCAGCACTTTCACACTTGCCCACACGTCCGAAAATACTTTGGCAAGCGCATAAAAAAGTGCTTGCCAAAAAAATAAAAGCATTTGTTTTTTAGATCACAACAAAAAAACATTTTTGTTTATTTGTTCAACTTTTATGAAAAATGGCTTTTTTTAACCGTTTTTTTTTTTTTTTTTTAATTATTTTATCTAGTATTTATTCAAAGCAATCTTTTTGCTAATTTTATTTTAATTTAAATAGCAGAAAAAAAAATGAATTTTTAAAATCGCGCACACTAGCTTAAAAATGACTTTTTGGGTGGGGGCATTAAATTCCAAACAGACTGCTTATGCTATAAAAAACTCAGCTGAATCTTCTAATGCTAAAAAAAACTCAACTGACTCTTTCAGTAGTTTTATAAAATTATAGTTTAATTCTGATTATATCAATTAAATTAACTATAATGTAGCAACTTTGCAATAAAATTATTTTATTGATAAAACTGAAATTTATTTTACAAAATTATTGTATTAAAGTATTTTTTTAATATTTTTTGTCCCTGCTTTTTTGTTTAAAAGATGGTAATAAACATGTTGTTTGAATAAATAATATTTAAATCATTAAGCCACTAATAACTTTTTATTCAAAAATCAAAATATACAATAAAATTTCAAAATCAACATTTACAATATTATGCAATTATAAAATTAACATTTTTTTTTTTTTTTTTTTTAAATTATCTTCGCTTCCAACAAGGTTGCAAGCAACCACTAATTAGTGTTGGAAGTTACTGGAAGAGAAAAGATGAAGATTGTAGAGCAAGATAACGATTGACAGATGACTTAAAATATTGCAAATTATATGAATCAGGAAAGCAAGATGAAGGAAGCAAATTCCAAAGAACTGATGTTCGAGGAAAAAAACTAGACGAATAAGAGTTTTTGGAGCACTTAGGATATATATAACATTGTACAGTAATAAAGTCAACATATAAAATATTGTACAGTAATAAAGTTAACATATACAACATTGTACATTAATTAAATCAACATGTGCTACAACATTTAAATTGCAAATAAATTCAAAATTAAAAAAACCTCTTTGAAACCATGAGCAGAAAGTATATTTCGCACTAACTTGCATTCTGTCTTTATAAACTTATATTTCAAATGATAGTTTTCTGAAACATAAATCAAAATAAAACATTTTTATTTTTTACGTAGACTACGTAGCTACATAACGTAGCTATCATATCTCTAAATTTGTCATAAATGAATTGCTTCATGCTAAAAAGGGTTTAGCTATGTGCAACTAGTTTTTATAAAAAAAAAAAAAAACAAAAAAAAAAACATATTTATTATAGTTTTCATAAATGATGAACATAAGACTTTTTGTGTAAAATAAAATACACTCAGCACACTTAAAGTTTACTTAACAAAGAATATGAAATGTTGTGATAAAATTTAGCAGGAACAAATACTATTGACATTTTTACAAATTTTTGAAAACTAAAAAAAGTCAATATGGTTTAAGTTTTTGAAGATTTACAAATTATAATGTAAAACCATAATCTGGATTGTAAGAATGACTATAATATGAATTGTGCGAATAACATAATGAATTGTGCAAGTAACTACAGTGGGGATGTATTGTGTAAATAATTATAATGTGAGGATCTACTGAGCAAGTAACTATAATATAGAGATTTATTTTGCAGGAAACTATAACTTTGATAAATTGTGTTACTATAAAATAGATGTTACATTGAGTAACAAAGAACTTAAGTTAGTGTGAACAAAAAGTTTACTAAAAAACTGGATTTCAGCTATAAGACATACTATATAAATTTATAAATGTATTATGTAAAAAAATATTATGTAATTTTTGTTGATTATCATTATATAAAGATTTAGAATATTCTTATTAGATAAACTAAAAAAAAAAACATAATGACTTGCTTATAACTTCCTTTTCACTTTCAGGTGTACCCAAAAATATGCATGCAGGAGAAAAGTTTATTATAGGTTTCTTATTTCTATTACTGGACCATTGAAGAATTGAATATTTTTCTTTACTTTTATCAGCATTTTGGTATATTTTTATTGTTGAACTTTTTTCATTATCAATTATTGTATCTTTTTTACCAGTTTCGGGTAAAACTTGACTCGTTTGCTGCTCCATTAATTTGCAATGTTTACATTTCTTTTGGTGGATCTAAAAATGATATTATTAAGGTAATATAAAAATTAATAAAGTGCTATTGTCTTATTTGACAGCTATCATGCCAGAATGCCAGAAGAATTGGAATATGATCAGTAAATAGCTGCAGAATTTGATAAAACTGCATATCAAGAAAGTTTCTGCAAGCTGCATTTGTTGCCACCTCTCAAGACAGGATGAGTTGGCAATGAATTTTTATTGTGGCTAGTAAATCCACTAAATAACCAATAAGCAAAACTACAGTGGTCCACTCAAAATGCCTATTAAGGTCCATTGAAAACCTGCTATAGTTTGCATGTTTGCTGGGTATATACATACATACATACATACATACATACATACATACATACACACAGACATACATACATACATACATACATACATACATACATACATACATACATACATACATACATACATACATACATACATACATACATACATACATACATACATACATACATACATACATACATACATACATACATACATACATACATACATACATACATACATACATACATACATACATACATACATACATACATACATACATACATACATACATACATACATACATACATACATACATACATACATACATACATACATACATACATACATACATACATACATACATACATACATACATACATACATACATACATACATACATACATACATACATACATACATACATACATACATACATACATACATACATACATACATACATACATACATACATACATACATACATACATACATACATACATACATACATACATACATACATACATACATACATACATACATACATACATACATACATACATACATACATACATACATACATACATACATACATACATACATACATACATACATACATACATACATACATACATACATACATACATACATACATACATACATACATACATACATACATACATACATACATACATACATACATACATACATACATACATACATACATACATACATA